ACAACAACAACTCCACCTGGTTGATATGACTTCATGATATTGATAGCACTACTACAAGACCTGTTTTGGATACCAGCTGCACAAGACGATCCCAACTTGGTTAGCTGAAATGGTGCACATCTTGTACAACATTCTGGCCAGACTTGCACAAAATACTCAGAGACTATTTGCAATTTTAAAAGACATTGATCTTGAAATTTAACCATCATTTTACTTTCACAGGATCCCCCAGAAAGAACGTCGCCCCCATGACAGCTGGAAGTAATTCTAGAGGACGACGTCCCCTCTCCCAGTAAAATTTACGCCTGGGTTTAGGGACATCATTTAGGGGTTGGGAGGTTGGGGGAGGAATTTTATAAGCTCAGGGATCATTTTGAAAAAAAAAAAAAGAGGGAATGATGGGATAATAGATTTATAATTGTGAGTTACTGCTTTTAGACAAATATATTGGTATAGATTCTTGTATATTGATACAAAGTTAAATTATATTGACTATTGTATGCATGCATGTTTCTATCTCTGTTTAAAACATTTTTTATGTATTGACATATATTGTATTGATAAATACATATTGTATATATTTACCATATTGCAATGTACATTTCTACCTCTGATTAAGATACTTATATAATGTTTGTGTATTGATATATATTTGCCATATTGCAATGTATATTTGTACAGTGTTTATATTTGGAGGTCATTATCCTCATTTGTTACACAGTTGTTTATTGTCTTAGTCTTTAAGTTAGATAGATATTGAGAATTATATAGATAAATAGTCATCTAAGTTTGTCATTTATAATCAGACTAATCAGGTTCTTTAGATATATAGAGATTATACTCAGTATAGATAGATAATCTTCAACCTCTTCAAAGAGCTGTAGAAAATGGCCTTTAATCTAACTCAGAGTTTCGTGATAGTGAGACACAATTGCTCCTGGCAACACCACTCTATTCCCGAGAGAATGTTGAGCACCAAAGACACTCTACCTGGAGCCTTTCTATTTGGCAGAACTGGCCTTTGGGCAAAGAAATGCCCATACCTCAACCACTGACACAGATACAGAGCATGCATCAATGGATAAAACAGGACTGTCATATCCTGCCAAGACAGGGTAAGATAGTTTTGAAAAGTTCCTTGCCTTAATAATGGTATGTCAGTTATGTTAGGCCTTAGCCAAAATTGGTTGACTCAACATTGCAAACGAGACTTTGGGTGATTGCCCAGGTAGTCAGTGTCTCTGTCAATTGTTGCACATTTTGGATATATCTCGTTTGTTGAGTAGTGTTTATTCCCTTCTCAGATCTTTGACTGAGTTGAAGATTATATAATTGTAGTTACTCTTTACATTATTTGGACTCCTTGAGATAGAATGTTTAGCAAAGCTTTTGTTCTCAATATTGTTTGTTATATTTATTATTTGTTGTTATTGTATGTAGTTGTATTTGGTTTAGTTCTGTCTTATTTAGACAAAAAGGGGAGATGTAGGGATAAGTCCCGCTCCTTAGGGGGCATGTTCGCTTCGGGCTAATGTCTGCCTATAAATTTTGCGAGTGTGCTCCGAGCTGTCTCTTCTGCTTTCCTGGTCTCCGCGGGAACGGTGGTTCTGTAAGTCTATTTCTACATTAAAACTATATATATTTTTACAATCTGTCTGCATTCGTTTACGCCGCTACAACCTTCTTTGTCTCTTTTGACTGTTTTTAGCTTGAAGTCTGTTTTGTTAGATATTAGGATAGCTACACCCATTTGTTTCTTAGGTCCATTTGATTTTTTTCCCAGGCTTTTTCTCTGAGATGATGTCTGTCTTTGGGCTTGAGATGCATTTCTTGTATGCAGAAGAGGGATGGATTCTGTTTTCGGCTCGTTGTCATTTGGCTTGACTGAGATTTTTGGCGTTTGCAGAGAGCTCACATTAGGAAAAATTCCTAACATCTGGAGGTCCCCACCGAGATAGGGTGGCCTTTCCCTGCAGCCTATGGCCATGCATAGAAAATGCCCTAGTCCACAATCCAAGCTCTCCATGCCAGGCTAAAACCAGCTCCCGGACTACAGCAGCTGCATCTTGGTTGAGTCCCCTTTTCTTGTCTATGCTATAGGGTTTTGGGGGACCCATTCGTATTTACTTTTGTCAATTATAGGACTCTTGTGGAAGACAAAGTCTGATCTCAGCAACTATGCTGGGCCTAGCTGAGGTGAATTTTGTTTGTTTTAGGGACAATTAGCATTCAATTTTCATGACCCCATTTAGGCCTAAGAGCTATTTTGGCAGACAGGCTGTAATAGATTTAGGCCACGCAGTTGGGGATAGACTTTAAAATGGGTACTTGCAGTTCAAAGTCAGATTCACTGTTGCCCCTGGGATGCCTCTTAAAGCTTTCTATCCTCCAGGACCTAGAAAATTTTTGTTGCCATAGGGACAAATAGACAGAGCTTACATATGTCCATGGTTTTTGGGCTCTGAGCTCCCACCCTTCCTTCAGTAGCCAGTGTCTCATGGCACCTGTCTTAGTAGCTAAGGCAGCAACACCTTCAAATTCCTGGTCATCTGGGAATTGGGACCCCAACAATTCTAGCTGGATTATGCAACCAGAGGCACTGGCCCCTCCCCCACTCCCTCAAACCCACACTACCCCCCCTCCTGAGGAGCAACATTCTCCACATTCCTCTCCTTCCCTGTCTACCCCCTCCCTTGCCAATCCACCAATCCAGAAGTTCAAGGTCAACTTCCACCTCCCCCACCTTCTCCCCCCTCTCCCACCTCCCAACCCTTCCTACCCTTGGACCCCCCCCTCCTCACACTGGGCCCCTCCAAATCCTCCCTAGTCTCCCCCCATACCAGATCCCACCATAGCTCTGCCCTTCTCTGCCCTCTTCGGGAAGTGGAAGGAGTCGATGACATTATCAAACTTCATGTTCCCTTTTCTCTTCCAGATCTCTCTCTGATAGAAAAGTGGCTAGGTTCTTTTTCTACTAAGCCTTCTTCTTATAGTAATGAGTTTCATTACAGAGGCGAAACATTATCATTCGTTGCCTCCTTCAGGGTATGGAAATGGTCTTGGAAAAAAGTAACAATCCAGCCATTTTTAAAAATCAATTACAAGAGACCATGGCCCAATATACCAGGCTAGATCCAGCCTCCCCAGCGGGAGCCAAGGTCTTGGATACCCATTTTACTTCTCAGTCAGCACTAGATATTTAAAGAAGTTAACAAAGGCTGAGGAGGATCTCCAAACCCTATACAGAAATTGGTAAAAAATAGGTTTTTTTGTTTTGTTTTTTCGAGACAGGGTTTCTCTGTGGTTTTGGAACCTGTCCTGGAACTAGCTCTTGTAGACCAGGCTGGTCTCGAACTCACAGATCCGCCTGCCTCTGCCTCCCAAGTGCTGGGATTAAAGGCGTGTGCCACCACCGCCCGGCGGTAAAAAAAAATAGTTTTAATGCCCAAGAAGAAACAGCTGAGTCTTCCCAACAGCCAAGGCTACAACAAGCAGCTACTCCGCAGGCAGACCTTACTAGTTGCCCTAAGTCCATGGGAAGGGGGACAAGGAAAGCCAACCACACGGCTCTACCCTGCTGGAGCCCAACCTAAGTCAACCTCACAGGCGGGCTGTTAATCACAATGCCCCCGTGTGGACTTGTCCTCTGTGCCATGCCACAGAGGTCCGGCCCCACCAACATGGACAAGTGAAACTGTGTCAGCTTTCAAACTTCTCAGCCTTGCAGGGGATTGACGCTGCCCAGACTTGGTTTATCCCATAACCCTATCTGAGCCTAAGGTAAAGCTGCAGGTAATGGGTAAGTCCATTACTTTTCTTTTGGACATAGAAGCTCCCTATTCTGTTCTAACATCTCATTCGGGCCTTATGTTCCCCTCACCAATTTCAGTTATGGGGGTAGACGGGACCTGTTCCTCCCCACTTAACTTAAAACTTTGTCACTGCCCTGCATTCTTGGAGGATATTTTTCCCCATTCTTTCTTAGTGATACCTCCTTGCCCAGCACCTTTACTGGGTCGAGATTTCCTTATACTCCTAAGTCTCTCAAACCTTGATGGACAGGACCTCACACGACACCTGCCTTTTCACCTCCCCCAAGGAACAGAAGCCTGGCGTCGAGTGTGTACCCACTAACACCCAGCTCTCCTCTTCCCCACGTCACCCCATGCCTGCAGGAAGTAGCCAGACTTGAGTCAACGTCCCCTTTTCCTAAGAAAGCCTAAATGTTAGTCAAAATATCACTTCAGCTTGCTGTCACCCCTTATACAAACAGTCTGGAATGCAAGTCCTGGACTCTGGTCTCCATCTTTGAAGGCCCTGCCCCTGTGCCCACCAAACCTTGAACACACCCACCCCACTCCCACACACCCGTGAACACAGGAATCCCATTAAACCTGGATATCCTTTAATTTGGCTCGTTGTCATTTGGCTTGACTGGGATTTTTGGCGTCGGCAGAGAGCTCGCGTTAGGAAAAATTCCTAACAGTCTTCCCCCAGCCCGACCGCTACAGCAGACGGGAGAAACTGGAGCGATGGGGTCTACTAGGTCCTTGGACGAGTACATCAGCAGTTGCCAGGTAAGATGGGGATTCAGAGGTAACACCAGACCCTAACCTAGCCACGCCTCAGGTGAAGGATAACCAGGAACACCTGACTGCACCTGTGGCTAAGATTCATTCCAGCTGTTTTAGGGAAGTTACACTTTCAAAGAGTCCTCGTGGTTCGCGCCCCCACAAGCTCTCACCCTCCCTCGAGAAGATTCTCGCCTTATGTTTCGCTCACTCAAAGCCATAGTGATCAGACACTGGGACAGCCAGCGAGAGTGGCGAGCACTGCTCAAGCGCAGGTCAGTGGGTCCTAGTGCGCACGCGCAGTTCTCTGGGTGCCCTCTTGCTTCAGCTCTCGCAGGGCAAGGCACCGCCTAACGTCCGGCTCCGCCCCTTGAGTTGCCATGGAGACCCAGCGGCCAAAGCCCGCCCGGGACAGCGCCCTGGGCCTGGTGGCCTCTTGCGGGCTTTGCCTGGGAGATGTTGCGCCTCACAGAGCTTTCCGGGAAGAGCGCGGACTCGGCGGAGATGCGGTCCGGGTCCCTAGGCCACTGCAGGCACTTCTTTTGGCTGGGCGTCGCCTTCGACACGGTGGGTGTGGCAGTGCTGTTCACTGGCGTCTTCGCCAACCTGTTTTTCTACGACATGCTGCTCTATCTGGGTTCCATCATCATCTTCGTCAGTCTCTTGTGGTGGATCTTCTGGTACACCGGCAACATCGAGGCGCTCCCGGAAGACCCCTTGAGGAGGACTTCGCCTCGCGCGGGAGAGGTCGGTATGCACCGCAGCGGCAGCCGTCGCTTCTCACTGACCATCAGGAGCGTCTCCAACACCTTCCGGCGGATTCGCCGGCAGCGGCGGCGGCGGCTCCTCCCGAGGGTCCTCCAGATGATGAGTAGCCTCAGCTCGACCGACCTGGGCCAGCTGGAAGGGAACAGCGATGCCGGGACCGAAGGTGGCAGAACTTCGTTCCATCCGGCGAAGCCTGTGTCCATTCTAAACAAGCTACAGCTTTGCTCAATCCAGGCCTCTAAGAGCCTGCCTTTGGTCCCTTTGCAACATCCTCTCACCGTTTGTACTTCTCGGAGTCAGCCTGTCTTTTCGGTGACCTCACAGTGCTACCCTCTGGTGTCTGGAGCTTCTGGCAGCTACTCCCAGATGGCTTTGTCCTCTGACAGTCAGGTGCCTGAGGACCTTGACCCTCAGGGGCGATCTAAGATCAGTGTGGCCTCTCGGATCTACCCTGTGGAACGGGTAGACAGTCAGAGCCACCTCCTGGTGCCTGTGCCCTCTGAAAGTTCCCCTGTGGTACCCCTGACCTCTCAGAGCCAAGTGCAGGACTCTGTATCCTATGACAGCTGCATGCCTGTGGACCTTGACCCTCAGGGGCGATCTAAGATCAGTGTGGCCTCTCGGATCTACCCTGTGGAACGGGTAGACAGTCAGAGTCACCTCCTGGTGCCTGTGCCCTCTGAAAGTTCCCCTGTGGTACCCGTGACCTCTCAGAGCCAAGTGCAGGACTCTGTGTCCTCAGGCAGCTATATGACTGTGGACCTTGACCCTCAGGGGCGATCTAAGATCAGTGTGGCTTCTCGGATCTACCCTGTGCAACGGGTAGACAGTCAGAGTCACCTCCTGGTGCCCATGCCCTCTGAAAGTTCCCCTGTGGTACCCCTGACCTCTCAGAGTCAAGTGCGGGACTCTGTGTCCTATGACAGCTGCATGCCTGTGGACCTTGACCCTCAGGGGCGATCTAAGATCAGTGTGGCCTCTCGGATCTACCCTGTGGAACGGGTAGACAGTCAGAGCCACCTCCTAGTGCCTGTGCCCTCTGAAAGTTCCCCTGTGGTACCCCTGACCTCTCAGAGCCAAGTGCAGGATTCTGTATCCTATGACAGCTGCATGCCTGTGGACCTTGACCCTCAGGGGCGATCTAAGGTCAGTGTGGCCTCTCGGATCTACCCTGTGCAACGGGTAGACAGTCAGAGTCACCTCCTGGTGCCTGTGCCCTCTGAAAGTTCCCCTGTGGTACCCCTGACCTCTCAGAGCCAAGTGCAGGACTCTGTATCCTATGACAGCTGCATGCCTGTGGACCTTGACCCTCAGGGGCGATCTAAGATCAGTGTGGCCTCTCGGATCTACCCTGTGGAACGGGTAGACAGTCAGAGTCACCTCCTGGTGCCTGTGCCCTCTGAAAGTTCCCCTGTGGTACCCGTGACCTCTCAGAGCCAAGTGCAGGACTCTGTGTCCTCAGGCAGCTATATGACTGTGGACCTTGACCCTCAGGGGCGATCTAAGATCAGTGTGGCCTCTCGGATCTACCCTGTGGAACGGGTAGACAGTCAGAGCCACCTCCTGGTGCCTGTGCCCTCTGAAAGTTCCCCTGTGGTACCAGTGACCTCTCAGAGCCAAAACCCGGGCTCTGTAGCCAAAGAAGGCCAGCTCCAGAATCTTCCTTCTGCCTCTCAAACTCAGCCTGAGACCGGTAAAAGCTTCTGAGAGCCATACTTTGGCATAGAGGTTCCTGTGGTACCACTTGCATTTGCCCAGACTTCTCAAAGTCGTTCTTCACATGTCCAGGAGGTTCCTAAGAACTCAAGTGCTAAAGCTGCTGAGACTCTCCCAGCAATCAGCCAGAAACTAGCTGAGGAACAACTTGACCCTTCATTGTTTGTCTCTGAGGTCCCAAATTCAGATAGGCATTGTGACCCTACTGGCAACCTTCCAGCCACCAGTGGGGTGAGAAACAGTTACCCTTTCTAAAGGAAGCAGACCCCAGCCATCCGAATGTCTATTCAGGCCTTTGCCAAATAAGTGCCTTGGAGGAAAACTTACCTACATTACCCTTTTTATTGCCACTGTCCTGGTAGCTTCTCAACTCTTGTAATTAGAAAAAAGTGGCCTTGGACTTCAGAGATAAGTCACTTTGAGAGTTGGTAGGCTTTTAAAACTAGTTCTCAGGTTTTGACTACTTTATCAGACAATAAAATGTTGTTTTGTTTAAGGTTAGAGGAAAGGCCAGAGGTGTGTAGTTCTTTAGGAAGTCCTGAAGAGGCAGGTGGAGAATTGGATTCTGTAAGACTGCTCCTTGAAGAAGACAACTTCAGTTTGCACAGGGACATGGCATTAAATGACACTGAATCTTAGGAAGAGAGTTAATCTTTTTCAATACATTTGGTTTTTGCCAAAGAGGCTATATTTTGTTGGGAGACAATGCTCTTTAATACTCCTCTAAAGCTTCAGTAGGCTAAAACTAAACTCAGCTAGAATTTAATAATCTTTGCAAAGATTACAAAGATTAAAAACCCTATCTCAAAAACAAAACAAATTTTTGTTTTTTCTTGTTATTTTTCAAGACAAGGTTTCTCCGTGTAGCCCTTGCTATCCTGGAAGTCACACTTTAAGACCAAGTTTGCCTCAAACTCAGAGATCCTCTGCCTCCCGAATGCTGGGATTAAAGGCATGGGCCACTGTGCTCTGTGAAAATAGATTAAATAAATAAATAAATAAATAAATAAATAAATAAATCTTAAGCAAGACATAGTGCAAACAACTTTGTTGTTGGTTGTTTTTTGTTTGTTTTTGATACAGGTTTTCTTATGTAACAGCTCTGGCTGTTCTGAAACTCAGTTTGTAGAACAAGCTGACCTGGGATTAAAGGCATGCACCACCACCGTCCAGTTAGTTCACACAAGTTTAATGGAAGACAGGCAGATCTCTGTGTGTTTGAAGTCAGCCTAGTTCACATACCAAATTCCACAAAAGCTAGGGCTACATGGAGAGACCAGGTCTACTCATCTCTTTTTTTTTAAAATGATTTATTTAACCTTATTATGTTCATTGGTGTGAAGGTGTCACATCTCGTGGAACTGCATTTTCAGACAGTTGTGAGCTGCCATGTGGGTGCTGGGAATCGAACCTGGGTCCTCTGAAAGAGCAGTCAGTGCTCTTAAGCACTGAGCCATCTCTCCAGCCCCAAGAGACCAGGTTTAAAGAAAGAAAGAAAGGGCCCTTTAATCCCAGCACTTGGGGGCAGAAGCAGGCAGATCTTTGTGAGTTCAAGGCCAGCCTGGTCTACAAGAGCTAGTTCCAGGACAGGCTCCAAAGCTACAGAGAAACCCTGTCTTGGAAAAAAAAAGGGGGGGGGGGAAGAAAGAAAGAAAAAGAGAGGGGTTTGGATTTAGTAGCTAAACCAGTTTAGTGCATGCATGCATACATATACACAATGCTGGACTTAGGCTTCTGCACACCTGTAATTTTAACACATAGGAGGTCATCATCGGCTATATAGTGAGTTTGAGGCTAGCATGGGCTACATGAGACCCTATATGTCTGAATATGGGTAGTGCATGGTTGTGTATGTGCCAGCTGAAGCCAAGAGGCACCACATCTTCTGGAGCTGGAGTTAGCAAACAGTTGTGAGCCATCTGATAAAGGTGCCAGGAACTGAATTTGAGTCCTCTGGAAGAGCAGCAAGGGATTTTAAGCAATATGCTCTCTCTCTGGGACTTTTTTTTTTTTAAAGACAGAATCTCAGGTAGCTCAGGCTGGCCTCAAATTATGTATTTAGCCAAGGATGACCTTCAACTTCTGATCCTTTGGCCTAAATCTACCTGATGCTGGGGTTCTAGATATCACTACCCCAGGTTTGTGAAGTGCTGGGGATGGAACCCAGGGCTTTCTGCATTCTGGGTGAGCAGTCTACTGAGACCCAAGCCCAGCACACCACATCTAGCTGCTTTGCAGAATCTTTAGCAGGGTTGAGCTGTGTTTGTTGTTTGCAGTTCTAGTGGGTCTGTCTGTAAAGTAATAGGAATAGGCAAATAATTGAGATAAATTTCTAAGGTTCTCTCCATTTAATTATAAGCCCAAAGTAGACCTTTTAATTGTTAGCAACAGTTCCTAACCAAGTAGAGGCTCCATCAGTGTTCATCTTGCAAAGTACTTTCAGGTATTTAATTTCTTATAGAGATGGCATCATGTGGAATTACTGCTTACTATAATAGCCCATCTATGCATGTTATTAACAAGGTAGGTACTTCTCTAAAACAGAAATATATGTGTTTTTCCCCCATAGAGGTCAGGGTAGTAGATATTTTTGATTTTATGGGTCAAAAGAAAGAAATCAAAGTTGTAAGTATCCTGGTGTGGTGATACATGCCTTTAGTCCCATAACCTTAGAAGTAGAACTCTACAAATATGGTGCCAGCCTGGGTATCCATGGCTACATAGTGAGACTGTCTTTAAAATGCTGTGAGTCTACTTGTGCAACCACCCTACTCTGTCTGTAGCTCCTTTGGCTCCAGTGACCTCATCTGGAATCATTCACTTAACAAAGAACAAGTGATATAGGGAGAGGGGACTTGGTAGAGCAGATCTACAGTCAACACCATCTTTTCACTCTGCCCTAGGGACACCCTGATGTGGTCCACTATTCTCTCAGAATACAGAGCCTTCTCAGTTTGCTGGTCCAAGATGATGCAATTTGCTAAGCTTCTGACTCTCAGATGGAGAATCCACCTTTCAGGACCTGGTATTTTCCAACAATAGGGCTCATGTTGTATGGCAATATCTAGGTTCCCGGGAAGGCCACTAGTCAAAAGAGGCAGGCCCTGGGAATGCTTATCTGGGAATTGATTTGCTAACTTGGTTTTTGAGACTCACCTTGAGACTCTATGATGGTATAAAGCTGGGATACGGAAGGTGCCCCTCAGTACCTAGTGTGTAGAGAGCAGAGATGCAGTGAAGCACCCAACAGTGTACAGAATAGCTTGTGTGATACACAACTGTCTGACCCACAGTATCAGGAGGATGAACCCAAGAAGCTCAAATCTGTGTCACTGAAACTGTATATTAGTGTGTGGAGGCTCTCTGCTGTAATCAGTCTGCACACTTGGAAAGGTGAGGTAAGGGAATTGAGAGCTGGAGACTATCCTGGGCTATAAAGAGAGACTGTGGCTCAAAAAACAATAAAACTGGGCTGGAGAGATGGCTCAGAGGTTAAGTGCACTGGCTGATCTTCCAGAGGTCCTGAGTTCAGTTCCCAACAACCACATGGTGGCTCACAACAATCTATGATGAAATCTGGTGCTCTCTTCTGGTGTGCAGGCATACATGCAGGCAGAATGCTATAAATCAATAAATCTTAACAATAACATTTAAATTGCCATTTTCATAAGCTTTTATTTTTTTATTTGCTATTTATACTTTCTGAGTGGCCTGGAACTTACTATGAAGTCCAGGCTGGGCTAGACTTTGCAGCATCCTTCCTGTATCTACCTCCTGAGTGTTGGTGTTATAGGTATGTGTTACATCTTTTTCAAAAAGATGGGTCTTGGGTAGGCAAGAGTGTTCATTGGTGGCAACACTTAGCACCAAGACTGATGACCTGAGTTCTATCCCAGTACCCATTAGAGAGAACCAACTCCTGAAGGTTGTTTTTTGGCCACCATACATATACCCTGGCATGTATATCCTCAAAATATATATATATATATATATATATATATATATATATATATATATATATATATGTTTAAGCCATAAATGAGTAACTAACTTGAGACCCTTAGGTTACGTCTTATGTTCCTTATTGAATAAGCATACATGAATTGTCTCTTCCCCGCCACCGCCTCCCATTTCCCTCCCCCTCCCCCAATTAAGTCCCCCCCCCAGCCTGAAAAGCAATCAGGGTTCCCTGTCCTGTGGGAAGTCCAAGGAACCCCCACCTCCATCCAGGTCTAGTAAGTTGAGCATCCAAACTGCCTAGGCTCCCACAAAGCCAGTGCGTGCAGTAGGATCAGAAACCCATTGCCATTGTTCTTGAGTTCTCAGTAGTCCTCATTGTCCGCTATGTTCCGAGAGTCCGGTTTTATCCCAGGCTTTTCCAGACCCAGGCCAGCTGGCCTTGGTGAGTTCCCAGTAGAACATCCCCATTGTCTCAGTGTGTGGGTGCACCCCTTGCGGTCCTGAGTTCCTTGCTCGTGCTCTCTCTCCTTTTGCTCCTGATTTGGACCATGAATTTATTAGTAATAATAGCTATTGGGTGTTTATAATACAATAGGAGTGACTCAAGGGAGTTGGATACTGTTGTTATCTCCACTTAAAGGATGAGTTTGACACTGAGAGATTAAATAAATTTTCCAAAATCATACAAATACAGGTGCTGGAATTGATATATCATATTTTATATGGATATATGACAAAATATTCTTCCATATTAAAGTTATTATTCAAGTAGGTGTTCATAACTATAAGCTCAACACTCTGAAGGTGGAGGTGGGAGGATCAGGAGTTCAAGGCCATCTTCAAACACAAAAGTGAGTTTGAGGCCAGCTAGAGTTACATGAGACCCTGCCAATATTATTATTTTTTTTAATTTATTTATTAATTAAAGATTTCTGCCTCCTCCCCGCCACCGCCTCCCATTCCCCTCCCTGCCAATATTATTAAGGAGCCTTTTGACACAAATCTTCTTCTTCTTCTTCTTCTTCTTCTTCTTCTTCTTCTTCTTCTTCTTCTTCTTCTTCCTCCTCCTCCTCCTCCTCCTCCCTCCTTCTTCTTCTTCTGCTTCTTCCTCCTCCTCCTTCTCCTCCTCCTCCTCCTCTTCTTCTTCTTCTTCTTCTTCTTCTTCTTCTTCTTCGTTTCTCCTTCTCTTTCTCCTTCTTCTACTTTTTCTTGAGACAAGGGTTTTCTGTAGCTTTGGAGCCTGTCCTGGAATTAGCTCTTGTAGACCAGGCTGGCCTCTAACTCACAGAGATCCACCTGCTTCTGCCTCCTGGGGTTAAAGTGCTGGGATTAAAGGCGCGCGCCACCACCGCTCATCCTTGACACACATCTTAAGTGTAACTTAAATTATAATACTACAGGTCAGTGAATAGATTAATTCTCTATTTAAACCTTTGGTTTCAGCAAGAAAATGAGAATTTGAAGTCTGTGTTTTCTTGTTTTATTCTAGATTATCACAACTATCATCTCAAATAAAATTGCCTTTCCCCCCAGACCTTAACAATGTATCTACATATTTCACTGCTAACTTGAGAAAAGCAAAAGTTCTTATCTTGCTTTAGAAACTTCTGTCTGGGGCTGGAGAGATGGCTCAGTGGTTAAGAGCATTGCCTGCCCTTCCAAAGGTCCTGAGTTCTATTCCTGGTAACCACATGGTGGCTCACAACCATCTGGAATGAGGTCTGGTGCCCTCTTCTGGCCTGCAGACATACACACAGACAGAATATTGTATACATAATAAATAAATATTTTTTTTTTTAAAAAGAAACTTCTATCTGGAATCCTGACCTATTCCAAACCAATAGACTGCCTAGTCTTTTTTTTTTTTTTTTTTTTTGGTTTTTCGAGACAGGGTTTCTCTGTGGTTTTGGAGCCTGTCCTGGAACTAGCTCTTGTAGACCAGGCTGGTCTCGAACTCACAGAGATCCGCCGGCCTCTGCCTCCCGAGTGCTGGGATTAAAGGCGTGCGCCACCACTGCCTGGCTACCAATCTTGGTTTCTGTGGCACTGAGATCAAACCCAG